TAGGACATATGGGTTAATGTTGGACTTGTGGGCTTGGGCAGCACTGGGTTGGGATTTTTTTTTTTTATATCCACTTACCCTTTATATAAAACTCTCTCTTATACATGAGTTTCTGTGGATTTGTTTCTCTTAAGTACCCAGACTAATACACCCCCTGACCGGGCACACATTTATGTGAGGTGGTATATGTGGTGGTTCAGATCCTAGGCTCTGGACACAACAGATTAGGTTAAAATCCCAGCTCTTTTGGGAAGTTTTGCATCTTGGGCAGGTACTTGATCTACCCATGCCTCAGTTTTCCCATGTGTAAAGTCAGGAATAATAGAACTTATTGCATCCGGTATTTATGGGTGCTAAAGGAGCCTCAGTGGAGCCCTGATAGTGTAGTGCTTACAAATTGGGCTGCTGATCCCAAGGTTGGCAGTTCAAAACCATGAGCAGCTCCTCAGGAGAAAGACCAAGCTTTCTCCTTCTGTAACGAGGTACAGTCTTGGAAACTCACCAGGGCAGTTCTGCTATGTCCTATGGGTCAGCATCAAGTCGATGGCTGTGATGGAGTTAAAGGAGTCTAATGGTGGTCTGAATTTCCAGTCAAACAGGGTGGGACACTTGTGAGTTCTGAGGCAAGGGCAAAAAATTAGTGTAAAAATATACCACGCACATGACTGTGTGACTCCACTGCTCTTTGCACTCAGGACGTTTGTCGTCAGGTTCATCCTGTGGGCAGGAGGGCAGAAGAGTCCCAGCACTGCTTCCTTGCAAGCAGGTGACTTGGTAAAGGAGAAGGGCAGTGAAAACGAGGAAGGCCTTCCAGGAGATGGATTGACACGTGGCTGCAACCATGGGTTCCAGCACATGGTCAGACCAGGGTGCAGCTGCCTGAGCCAGTTCCCTGCTTCAGCTGGCAAGACTCACTTCCTGCGAGACATCCCTGAGGAGAAGCCACATGGACCTACGCTGATGCAGCCCTGGGTGCTGGAGCAGCCGCGTGGAGACCCCTGCCAGCGCTGAGATGCTTACACACTCACTGACTCAGCTTTCCTCCTGCAGTCGGCATCATAGTGTGTGTTCTGTGAGATGGAGGAGGACTTTGTGGATTGGTGGACTTTGAGGACGGCCCAGGCTGTGACTCAGAAGTGGCTCGAGGGCCCCCAACAACAACATAGGGCCGCTGTGAGCGGGCTCTGACTTGATCGAGAGGGATTGCAGTGGTGTCTTCTTTAAATGGACCATAGAAGGAGCCCTGGTGGCACAGGAGATAAGCACTCAGCTGCGAACCCCAAACTCCGTGGTTTGAACCCACCAGCCCCTCAAGCGATGAAAGATGCAGCCGTCTGTTTCTGTAAAGACTTACAACCTTGGAAGCACTCTGGTGTTCTTTTGAAATTCACCATCATATTATTCCAAATACATTACAGTCTGCCATAGCACTCAATCAGTATCTAAGGATTAAGTGAATACATGAGATTAGTGATTTGTCAAGCTACCACAATTTAAGAAAAGGTGTATTACCTTCTCTTTATTATCATTATTATTATTACTCTGCTTATAAGTCCAGAGTAACATGAAATAAACAAAAAGCAATTTATTGACGATTCATTTTCTTTAAAGAGGATTTTCCTAGGATAATCACATAGGGGGCATAAGATTTGGGGGTCCATACATTGAAAGGTGGCATTACCACCCCTCCTTCCTTTCATAAAACTCAGACATGTCCCGGCTTCCCTCTGGTCAATGACGTTTACACCCTCCTGGGATCGTGGCTTCATCTGCTTCTCTGGGTCCTCTTTAATCCTCCCGTGCAAATACAAACATGGCACAAACACCAAGGCTTGGTGTCCTTTAATTATTGATTTATTTGGACACACCAGGGAAAAGTTCGAATTTCCATGAGCTTTACTCAATGCTAAAGGAGAGCAAAAAGGCAAATAAACACCGAGATTGCAAAATGGCAAGAGATGAAAACACAATCTAGAAATGGTGCCATCGCTTCGTAGGGGCCCCCTGCCCCCCATCCCCATGCCCACCCCTGTGAATTGAGCCGTTTTACATAACTTGGCAAGAGCTACATTGTTTTCCCTGTCTTTTTTCACTTATGAGTCCAGAGCAGCACCAAATAAAGGAAAACCACTTATTGACGAGTCATCCTAGTTACAGAGATCTTCCTGGGATAAACAAATAGATGGCATAAGAATTTGGGGGCGCATATACTATAAGGTTCTTTGGGCACTAGGGTGAGGCCTGAGAGATAACCCACCAGGAGGGACCCCCACATACATCACCCCAAGACTGTGGCTGTCCCGTCAGCAGTTGACCAGCCCACCTGAAAATAATATATTTACAATCGGAATGTTCTTGCAACCCCACTACACCCACAGCAATGTGTTTAAGAAATAAAATGGCCATGAATAACTGAGTATGGTCTGTGATAGAAAAATGGGAGTTGTGTGAGTGTTCATGAGCTTCCATGGGAAAAGCCAGTTATGAGAAGGCTGCATCAGACCGTGGAATGATGGCCCGCTGTCTTTGTTTTTAGTTTTTTGATTATTTTTAAATTTTAACAATTTTATTGGCATAAAATTTGCATACCATACAATTCAATGGTTTGATGAGATTAAGCAGTTGTGCCATCATCACCACAATCAATTTTAGAGCATTTTCTTTACTTTTGTACTCATTATTATTAGCTCCACATTTCCCTATACCCTCCCTCGCCATAACCCTAACAAACTATGGGTCTAGTTGCTGTCTCTATAGATTTATACATCCTGGATTTCAGAAAGAAGTCATACAAGACCTTTAACAACAATAACAAAGTAAAACTAGAACAAAGTAAACATGAGTCCAAAGGGAAAACACATGATAAGGGGTTGAATTTTAACTAATTATATCTGCATTTAGGGTTACCATGAAGCAGAAGTGACTCAATGGCAATGGGTTGTATCTGCACCACAAAGTGTGCTCTCCAATGCTCTACACTGAGGGCAGGGATATTTACATCCCTGCTCATTGATCCAAGGAAATTCAGTAGAGACTTAATCTCTGTTGGGACAATATAAATGGATGCTGGGCTTTCACTGTGTGTTAGTCCAGGTTGACTTGAGAAACAAATCCAGAGACACTCATGTGTACAAGAGAAGACTTTATATCAAAGAGCAATTGTACATTAACAAAGCATCCCAGCCCAGTCCAGATCAAGTCCATCAGTCCAATATCACCCCACAGATCAATACTAGTCCATAAATTCCTCTTTAGACCCAGCTGCCATGCAATGATGCTGAGTGCTCGAAGATCGCAGGCCAGTGGGTGGAAAGTTGTGGATACAGTGGTGATGGAAGCCTCTCAGTGCTAGTGTGGGTCTCCACGTGGCTCCTCCAGCTTCAGGGCTGCTCCATCAGCCTAGCTCCATGTGGCTTGCCATCAGGAATACCAAATAGAGAGAGTGTGTCTGGCCTCCGGTGAGCTATTTATCACCTTCGTGCCTCTAAGTGAAGTCATCAAGCTGCAACCTGATTGACAGGCTAGACTCCACACCATCCTCTTAATAGTCCCAAGTTGACAACAGATTATGTAACTACCACAGAATGGTCACCCGAATCCATTTGCAAATCGAGTGCTCAGAATGTAAGCTCTAATAAAATTCCCTCCTCTGATCTTGGATTTTATTATTTAAGATCCTTGGATCACACAGGCTGCTCTTCTTCTGTGTGAACTTAGCTGGCACCTAACTTTGATGGTTACTTGTTCTAAGAAAAGTTTTTAAGATCCCATATGTTATATCTTTCTGAGAGCTGAGTACCATCTGATTTCTTCCCCAGATTTTGTTATAGCATCCACAG